CATCTACAGGAAAAGGTAATTCCTCGGAATTTAAGTTTTGCGTAAAGAGAGGTGAAAGAATCCGTATGGGAGAAGCACTCGGAAAGTGGCATGGGTAGAGATTGATTAACTGCGATTAGCATGCATCCAAGTCATCAATTTATGCGCTTCCTCCAGTCGTTTGCTGCAGATTGGATCATGTTTGGCTTAAAACACCAAGATGATATGCAAGATATATTCCTTAGAATCTTTTGCAGGCTTCATTGCTGTTAGTTTTTTGAATATTTGCATTTTGATTAATTGAATAATTAAATTATATTTTAGTGAAGTTTTTCAAATTATGAAATTTTGGTACCTTGAGGCTTGCTTTTAATATTTTATTATTCAAATTAGTTTGATCATATCATTTTAATAATGGTTTGGCAAAATTCTTAATGGTTATAAAAATGGATTTTATCAACAAATTCCTCTCCTCTAATCTTTACTACTACGCCCACTACATGTCATACCCTTTGAATACAAGTCCAAGGCAAGATGCAAAAACAAGGAAAATACAATTTGAATCCCCATACACAATAATATAATATGGGAATGGGGAGTATTTCCTCTACCACACCAATCCATAACTTGGTTGTTTTTTGAGGAAGGAACATAAAATCCACATAAAGTCCTAGGACGAGTAATTCTAATAGAATAAATATTACAAACTTGAGAAGTTAGCTATACATTTCAAAAATTACAAAAAGAGGAATAAATATAAATTCATATATATAGAGCGTAAGAGGGAAAGATTATGCAGATTTTAAACACAAGATGAAATAGAGTATAATTGTTACGTGATATGCTGTCAAATTTGTAATGGTAGTTGAATTGTCTTACCATCAAATTTACTTATTTTGATAATCTATGTTATTCTAAGAAAATTAATTTATCCCGAACAAGCACCATATCCATTTGAACTCGTAATGTTATATAGCAACACTAATTTTAATATGATTAAAAATAGTCTGTCTAAGCATTGCATTAAATTTAATAAGCTAAAGAAAATAAATAAGCCACATTAGATACAAAAGAAATTAAAGAAATAGCTAAAGAGATCATTCA